CTGGAAGACTTGTTATATGTTCTCCTTGATTATTCCATAGATGAACTTTTGTATCATAACAACCAACTAAAATTGTATCACCTAATGATCGACATGCAGAAACCCAATCATCATGCATTAAAGCATCTTCGGGTTCAGGAGCTTGGAATTTTTCAATATATTCGATATCAATAACTGATTCAACTAATGATTCATCTTTCTCACGAATATGTTCTTCTAATGATGAACGAATCAATTGATTTAAACATAAAAAATCAAATGAAACACGAGTTAATTCTTTCGTTGATACTAAAATACATTAATACATGTCAAATCTGGAAATTTCAATTGGAAATGAAGTCAAACCTGATTGTTGTAATAATCCTTTGAGAATTGCTTCCAATTGAGCATTGGTCGATGATGATGGAATAACCAATGTTGAATCCGGTACGGAATATCTTCAAAAAGAAAAGTAAAATAAGTAATATGTGTTTTTGGGTGATCATTTTTACTTGTCGAGTCTTGTAATAAATCTCACTTGAAGTGACATCTAAAATAAATCAAAGATATTGATCGATTGAATGAATATTCAACTGATTTGGAACGATAGAGAAGACAACGATTCACGTTCTCGACAATTTGTATTAAGTAAGTAAATCATTAACGATTGTTATTGGTATATGCAGTTTTAACCAATTGTCGAATAGATTTCATTTCATCTGAAAGAGAAATACAAAAAAGAATAGATGGCGCCAGTTTACAACAATTCATTATTCGAAATACACATGGAGCTTTGATAATAATATAGAATAGAAAAAGAATATTTCAGTGAAGTACACTCCTGCCGAACATTCGGTTCATTTCGAAAAAAATATTGCATAATTTTGAATGGAAATTCATACATAATCAAAAGTTGATTTTGTGGAAAAAAGAATCCGATTATTAATTAGTGTTTGCTGATTCGACTGGAAAATATAAAGAGATATAATTACTCAAATAGTCATCAAGTAGAAAAATCACATAAAGTAAATTTCGATGATTGTCTTCTAGCCGGAATATCGCATCGATAATTTTGCAGAACTCAAGAACGGTATAAACATTTTCACAAAACGCTGTCACGATTTATATCTCGAATAAAATAAATACTTTTCTAATCGAAACTATTTCTACTTTTCAGCAAAAGATGTTATGAAGACTTGTACGCAGAATGATCGAAGGCATGCGAGTTGTGATATCAAGAACGAAAAATAGAAGCGTTAAAATATCGACTTGAGCGCACGACTGGAGTGTTGCTGACGATTTGCTTCGAAGGTAATCTTACAAATCAGATCATTCAGTCCTTGTCTATCTTTTTTTGTTTAGTTCTTTCTCAATTGGTTTTTCTTCAAAAATGAATTATTCAATTCATTTCGACGCGTATCGTGATATTAACCAGTACCAATCGTTTCATCATACGCAAAAGAAAGCAATCGTAAGTGGCCCTATATCCTATAACATCAGTAGAGCAAGCGATAAGACAAAAACGTTGAGTTAGTCAGTGTGATTGACCGCTAGCAATGTTATTGATTTTCATGTTCAGAATAAATATTTAGTCTAGGCAAATCGCACCTATACATTGTTTCCTTTCATATTTCTTGGTCATCTATCGGTCAGTACTATCTTTTGTTATTGATCAGAAAGAGAAAGATATAAATGAAATGATAATCAAGCACACGGATGTTTTTTCTCATTGAATATTGCTAATTTCATTTGGTTAAAATACGAGATGGCAATCGCCCCTACTAACGTAGATCAATATTTCATCTTTTTAAGTCTTAACGTTATTTTTTTAGAAATCCAAACTGGCAGTGGAGATCGACAAATTGACATCGACACTCTACACAATGAATGATAACGAGATGCAACCATGTTTGGCTTTAATTAAAAATAAGAGTGAAATGATGAAGGAATTCGTTTACCTTTCCACATTGGACCCAGACATTTAGCAAAATTCAAAAATATCAATCAATCCCAGGTCGATCATTCGGGCGACTGGATCCGTTGAAATCTGAGTCGGTTTCGGTACAGGTCTTCTCGATTCCAGCAAGTTTCGGCAGGTTCCTTGCCGCCGGAATTGCACAGGAAATATCCGATCAGTTCCTGACCGTTTCCAGCTCGAAATTTGCAGGAAACGGTCGGGAAATGAGTGGAACCTACGTTTGAACTTCCGGCCGGAATCCGGCGGCAAGGAAATGGTCGGAAAACGAACCTAACCGGCCGGAACCGACCGTGCCATAATAACCCGGACTTTGCGTTCTCTCAGTTTTGCGAGTCCGCTTCATAAGAAACCTTTCTAGTGCTATGAGCAAGTCATCGATTCAACATCATTATGAGAGGATAGTGACTTGAAAGCTATTCTCTCCTACGAAGAAAAGAAAATCTCTTCACATGAATTGAATACGACTTGAACTAACTAAATATAACTATTGTTATATCTATAGAAAATGACTCAAGACCTATGATTTTCAAATACGACTGCTCTAGTT